GTGGGCTTCCAGGTCAGAGTGTAACTAGATTTTAGGCTACAGGCAAATAATCTGAGCGCAAACCCCCTTCTTTATGAAATATAACACGAGCAAAAAACAAATGGCATCTACGAGGTCAGTCTTTTCAATTCTTAAACCTACAACTTGAGATAAAATTAATCTACCACACAAATTTCTCACTTACATATTTTTATTGCAGCCTAACTCAACAGCTTCCCCTCACTGCCCAGATGAAACAGGAAATTCCCCTTTACCTGTTAAATCAACCAGTTCTGTTCTGTTTCTGCCAGCTCCATCCTTTCTCTTACCAACCTGTCCCGATCACTCACTTACTCCATGACTTCAAAGTCATCGGAACCACCAGTAAAGGCCTCTTTGTAAGGCCCCGCCCCGCCTGCTCCCCATCTCTGCTGTGCACCTGTCCCTCAGCTCCACCGCCAACAGAAAGCAACCCGGTGAGGGTGCTGCGCACCAGCACAAGCCCCACACAGCAACTGCCGCTGAAGTGACAGCAGTCACGGCTGGATCCTGGAGGCTGGAGGTTCTTTGGTGGGTCTCAGTGGCTTGGGCAAGTCTATCTTGAGGGTAGCTCCTAAGTCATTATCTGTGTGCCCTTTTCCAGAAAAATGAAGGGCCCAGTAGTTTGCATGGGATCAGCATTGTCGTCTTCCTTCATAAAGGAAGGCTGGCCATTCAAAGATACAGGAAAGCTTAACAGCATCAACACTTTCTTCCCCTAAAGTAAAAAAGAACTACCCTGCTACAACCGGATGGACCTTGGAAGCATGGCGACCGAGGGCCTGACGGAGGGGGTGGGGGAGTGACAGTTTATGAGCTTTGAGATTTCTTTAGGGGATGATGGTAATTTTCTAAACGTAGTTGTAATAGTAGCACAATTTTGAGAATATAATGAGAACTACTGAACTGTATACTTTAAAAGGGTAAATGTCATGATACATGAGTTTTAATTCAAAAAGTCGTTATTAAAAGTAAAGGATCTCATTTCAAGTTACTGGTTCCAACTGTGTGCTTTTGAGCCCGAGTGACACACGCAGACCTGGAATCACCACACGGCCTCTTCCCAGCCCCCTTCCTGCCCAAATCCAGTTTTTATTTGCAGAGATGCCCTGCTCATCTCTTAAAACTAACAAGTATTTGTTCCCTTCCTTGTGAACATTTTCTTGACAATCCTGCTCTCAGGCAGAGTAACTTTGGTCTCACAACTTCACATGTAAATAAATACACTTTTGAGGCATCAGAGCTTACTACACTCTCACATTGGATTGCAAGTTCATCTCCCTGACTTTTGGATTTACTTACTACAATGCTATGCTGGCAAGTTTTCAAAAAATGTTCAGTAAATTAAAAAAAAAAAAAACAAGTTTGGAAAAAACAAAATTTAAAAAAAACAAAAAAAATGATGCTGTTACATCTAATTATCTAGTTGAATCTTTGGCAGTTCTATTGTTGACAGAGTCAGTTAGGTCAAAATGAGAATTGGGTGCAAGAGGTTAAAGCCCAGCCACTGCACCCAGAGTTTGATCCCCAGCCAGGGAGTGACCCACATGGCACCGCAGACCTCTCCCATCTCCCCGCTGTGCCCCTCAGCAGTGTGCTTCAGTCAGTCTGCCTGTGCTACTCCCCATTCTGTCTCTGGTGAATCCCCTCGCGCCCCCCCCCTTTTGGCCTATTAATGTTCTTGTAGGCATAAATAAAGAAATCTTTGAAAAAAAGAGAACTAATTAGGCATTCTTGATAAGCTGGGACCCTTCTATATGGGATGTAGAAGTGTGTCCTTTTATTATTGAACCTATGTAAATTTACTGGGAACCAGCATGTAAATCAAACCCTGTCTTTACAGATATGTATATTTCTTACATATTCATTATTTACATGTACACACACTTTTCAAAGTAAAATGATGTCACTATAGAAATTATTTTTGTTGTTATAAGGTCCTATGATGAACATTATCTTAAAACAGTCCTACTTAGCGATTTTACAAACAATGATGATCCTTTTCTAAGATCGATGTTGCAAATTCAGTGCCAATAAGGGTGATAAACTGAAGAGCATCATGTAGAGAGGGGATCCCTAAAGAGATCTCTGTGCATCAAGCTAAACAGCCATGTTTGTCTCCCTGCAGGGAACCAGGTGAAAGAGTGAGGTTTTGAAAGACTTCCATTTAACATAAAATTTATTTTACACCTTTAAATTCTTATCAAGTGCTTTATCTGTCTATAAAATTTGTTTCTTGGCTCTAGCTAACCACTGTTTATACTAAGGAATACAAACTTGGGGCTGCCAGATCTGATTTTTTCATTTCAAAGAAGTCAGAAATAGGGAAATGCAGATTTTATGTAAAACTCATAATTTTTAAATGTTGGCTTTATTCAGAATTTAACACATAGGGAAGGCCAAACAAAACACACCTGCAAGCCATATCTGGCTTATAGGCCAACCAATTTACTGTCTCTAATCAAAAATGCGATGTGTGGGTTTATGATTCCAAAACCATGAATATAGTTTATCAGAGGGACTTCTAAAAGGAAACTCCGACTTGGGGACCAAACCACGGCCCTTACATCCCATCATCTACTTAGTCACTCGCATTCTAAAACTTCCCTTTTCTTCCCGGGTCTCTGAAAAGGCTATAAATGTTTGACAATTAAAATGTTAGACAAGCCAGGTCTAATCAAGGAAGCTCTCCATTGTTCTAGCATCTGCTCTGCTTTAAAGAGTGCAATACAGGGTGAGTTTCAAGTTGTCATTCTTCTAGCCAACAAAAAGAAAACAAGAATTTTTTCTAGCAGGTGGAAAAACTCCCCGGAAAACCAGGTGAACTCTTGCAAGATTGCAAAGACCAGTAAGTGACGCTTCCTGACCACAAGGCATCCCTGGTGCTCAACAGACAAAATGGTGATGGCGACCAATACGTTGTCCCAAACCCTGTCTGGGAACCCAGTCTAGTCTGGGAGGAAATCCTAAACATCTCTCAAGTCCTATGGGTCTAAACAGAGGTCACGAGGCAGAATGGACCTGCTGAATGTCCAGAGGACACCAGAGCAAGCACAGGAGGGCCGCTCCGGCTCTGACTCCAGCACTGGCCTCTCCAGCGTGCGCACGCACCTCACCCAGCCTGCCTGGAGCACTGCGGGGCTCCCCTGTGGTGTCTGCACGTGGTTCTGTACAGGCACACGTCTTTACTGTGCTTCACTTTGTGGCGCTCTGTAGACACTGCTTTATAAAACAAAACAACTGACTGAAGACCCTGGCAGCCCTGCGTCAAGCAAGTCTGGTGTCATTTTCTGATGGCTGTGCTCACGTCATGCTCACGTCATGTCTCTTTCACATTTAATTAAGGAATGTGTATTTCTAAAAGACATGATACTATTTCATACCTAACAGACTATAGCATAACATAAGCAATTTTTACGTGCACTGGGAAACCAAAACATTCCTGTGACCGACCTTACTGCGATGCCTGCGTTACTGCGGTGGTCGGAGCCCAACCCAAGTATCTCTGTGATGTGTCTACACACATGGCGCCAGACTTACAAGTTTTCCTCATTACCATGGCGCAAAAGCAATAACCATTCAGCTGAAACCATACTTCAAGTTTTGACCTTTGCTCTTTCCCTAGGCTCGTGATACTGAGCAGTGGAAGCGAGCCAGTTTTCAGTCAGCCATGAGCTTGTGACAGCAAACACCCTCCAACCGGCTGGGCTCCAGCGGCCTCATGAGAAGATAAGCTGAGGAGCCTGTTGCTGTAGTGCGCCCCCCATCATCAGCAGTTAATTTTTGCTCAATGCCTCAAGCATTCTTCACACCCAACGTGTACTTTCAGCTGCGTAGGTGAGGGTGAGGACCTACGTGGTCTTTCTCTGCAGTGTGAATGAACACACGACCGAGTCAGCTCTGTGGTGCCAGCGCAGGCTCACAGGAGAGCTCTGAGCATTCTGAAAATGGCGTCGGCTGAGCTATTATGTGCAGCAGATCAGGTGTCTTACTTGCCTTTTCAACTTACAATGGATTTATGGTGATGGCGCCTTATCACAAACTGAGGAAGCACTAACGCAGTGTTAACCCTTTCCAAGAGCAGACTTATCACCACCTGGGCCTGGGCCTGTGCTCACTGAGCCCAGGGCCTCCCCCACTGGTAAACCGTAGTCAGTAAATATGGCCCTGGGACTAATGGTGACCTTGCAAGTATTCCACTCTTGCAGGGCACTCGAGGTTTCCTTACACTGCTTGTAAGAGCACTACAATAAAGCTCTATTTTCCAAAGAGAGTCTTCAATCAGGTAAATGGGGAGAAAATATTGATTTGATTTCATCCAACCCATGTTCCTGCATTTTGAGGCAGCATCCATTGTACCAAGGACCCAAAGAACTCCACACCACTGGCAGCGGGCTCTTTTCTAAGAATACTGAGCATTTCAAGAACAAATGATAAATAATTTTTCAATCCCAGTCCCAAGCAAACAAACAAAAAGAATGTAATGACATTCATAATTAAGATCTACAAAATATTCTGATTGACAAGATAACTCTCCAGTTGTGACCAAGGAAGCCACTTCGGGTGGGGTTCAGGGGCCTGAGAATGATCAAATCATGTAATCAGAGTTGGGCGTGTTCTCTCAGACGTATGTGGCCAGCGTCCAGTGACTTCATTCACTAGCATTTTGACATATGGACATTCGAACCAGCTCTCCAATGGCACACACTGTTCCCCGGCGAGGATCAGCGGTACTTGCCAACCAGGATCCTGCACTTCCTTGATCAGTAACTGTGTCCTAGGCACCTACCACACAATCTCCTGCAGCAGCATCCAGCCACTACTGCTGCAGCTCCTTCTTTTCTGCTAACTAGCAGACTTATTCAGTGATGTTTACTGGAAGGGGAAAAAAATCACAACTGCTTCTTTCCTGTCCATAAATCTCAATAAATACCAAATAGATCTCAAAGTCCTCAGTACAAAAAAAATCATTTTATTCTTACCTCAGCAGCCTGAGTCTCTTGATGCAGCAATGTAAGTCCAGTTAAGTCTTCTAAGAAGGAATGTGAAGAGTTAAACACCTTCGCTAGGAAATTAAATCCTTCTCGTTCATATTGATCGAGAACCTGTAAAAACATTGACATATTTAAAAAGGGGCTGAAGGTTTTAAATGCATATTAAGATTTTTCATTTCTAGCAAGTACTTGTGATAACTGAAATTAACACTAGATTTAAATATGAGGATATTAACACAATCTGGTGGGCCATGGAATGCTATACAATGAAAAAAGTACAATTGTATGTAACAAATGTAAGTCACTCTCACAAACATAATGATAAAAGGACAACCAGTACAAGTCACATGTTTGGACGTAGAAGTATGTACTTTTATTACTGAACCTATGTATATGCACTGGGAACCAGCATATAAATCAAACCGTGTCTTTACACAGATATGTGTATTCCTTACATAAACATTATCTGCCTGTACACACATTCTTTTCAAAGTACAATGATGTTACTATGGTAATGATTTTTGTTGTTATAAGGTCTGTGATGAGCATTATCTTAAAGTAATCCTACTTAGAACTTTTTATGAAAAATGATGATCCCTTTCTAAGGTAGATGTTGCAAATTCCAATACCAATAAAGGTGATAAACTGAAAGGCATCATGTAAAGAGGTGAAACCTACATTTGTATAAAGTTAAAAAAAAAAACAAGTGAAATGAACCTGTGGTTTAGAAGTCAGGGGCACAGTTAGCCATGTGAGTAATTAGAAGCGAACTTTTAGGGTACTGAGACTTGTTTCTTCATGTGATTGCCGACACAAATGTGTATTTCATGAAAATCTGTCAAGTGCTCTTTTCTATCTACTGTACTTCAAAGGATGTTCAAAAATTAAAGGTCAGTAGTCTCAGCAGGAGAACAATAGGAGGACAGAATTCTTAGAAGCAAACAGCAATAAAAATGGTGGTCACATTTACAAATGCGATGGCCACAGGAATTTGGCATGTAGAAGGCAAGCAGATGCCTCAGAAATGCTCTCAGAACCCAGAAGAAATAGAGAGATGAATGTTCTAAGAAACAGCAGGTACTGCAGGTGGATCCATGGCCGGGAACACAAGGCTGGAGAAGCAGTCGCACAAGAAACAGAAAGTAAAGCCTCTTTTCAGAGGTGAAAATGCAGAATCCCTCCAACCCAGTAGTTCCATTTCATACAGGCGCAGCTGCCTGGGCACGAGACTGATGTGCAATGATGCTCAGACACTACAATACTGAAAGACTGGGACCGACAACCCTTGGCCAAAGAATGTACTAAATTGTGCTGCATTTATCCTAGTGACAGAGGCCGACTCCACTGAAAGAATTAGCACTGTATAAACTGATTTCCAAGGCCACAAAGCTATGTCCAAGACCACATGTATTTGTGTTTTTGACATAAAAGTGAAGAAAGAGAGGAAGAGGGAGAAACATACATGTATGGGAGATGCATACATGTGTATCTCTGCTTGTTCACAGAGATGAGGGCTCTGGAAGAACCCTCTCTCTCTCTCTCTCTCTCTCTCTCTCACACACACACACACACACACACTTGGCATCAGGTAGTGTGTGTCTGTGGTTTTACACTACTGGAGAGTTTAGACCCTGTGCCTGTATTACTTACTTAAGTAACATGAACTCTTAATTTTTGTTTTCAATGCTGGAGAAAGGTCTCTAGAGAGAAGGAAACTAAGTCCCGATGAATAAGTTGGAGCTAGAAAGAAGGGGCAGCCCCTCTGTCACAGGAAGTAAGGCGCAGATGAGCAAGGCTGCTTGCACAGTGGTACGTTAGGAGAGTAGGGACCAGGGCTGCAAAGCTGTGGGGCCGGACAACGGGGGAGCAGGGGCTGCTGGCAGCGGCAACAGGAGGCGTGGCCCCTGAGAGGCACGGAGCCAGGCAGTGGGGAGTGTGAGAAAGGAAGCCAAGCGCTACACAGAAAGCCTGCCCAGTAATCTCGGGCCCCTGCCCAGGACAGAAGAGGTAAGTTAAGGCCGCATCTATGCTTGAGGTTTGGTAGGTTAGGGCAACAAAGGTCAAAGAGACGGGGGGCTGGTGAGTACCCATGAAGGGCCTGGGAGAGGGGCCCAAGCTGGTAAGATGGTCCCATACGCTGGAGGGAACAGAGCTCTGAAGAACCCTGAGGCTGAAGGAGGAGGGCGAGCGTGTGGTCTCAGATGTTTACATGACTTGCCATGTAAACTAACCTGATAACCCAGTGCCTATATAAAAAGGCACTGGATAATAGAATCCCTCAGTAACATGTGATTTTCCACACCAGAATGGGACCCTAGGAGAACATTCTGAAATGCTAAAAGTCTTCGTTTAGTGATCAGTTATTTTTGAGTGACCCAGTCACCTCAAACCCATGGTGCCAGGTTTCCAGTAAGGCAGGAGACATGGGTCTGAGACATGAACTCTGGAGGTAAAAACTGAAATAATTTCAGAGATGATACACTACTGGACCTTAATTAAACTTGCAGATTTCAAACCTCTGCTTCCAGATAATTCCGAGAGCTACAAATCTGGGCAATGGAAAAACTAACAGCGAGGGCAGCAGGAGTTATGGCCGCCCCGTGATTGGGATGCACAGAAAGCTTAATGCTGAGACATTATTAATAGCTCTGGCTTGAAAATATGTGGAAAAACTTAATCCTCGAGGGGCGTATTTAATCATGTAAGGGCTTTCCAGTATTCCCTTTACGTGCTGGGAAGTTAATCTGTGTTACGAGTATAAGCAGCTTATAAAAGGGTAGGAGGATTTTTTTCTCCCTACAAACAGCTTAACCTTCTTAAAGGGGAAAATGTTTTTAAATTATTCCCCCCAAAAGACAAGAAAAGGCACCGTCACAACGAATGTAGGCACTGCAACAGTCGTCAGTCTACGTAAAACAATCCCCCTCCGCCCTACTTCACTGAGACTGTGTAGTCTGAGGTCCTGAGAAGGGCACGGGTTCCATCCTGGGTGTGCTGAAAACTTGGTCTATATTCTAAAGGCACTGGGGGAGTGTGCTAAGCACGGTTTTAGTGGAAAGACAGAAGCCCTTTGTAACGCACGTGCGCTTCTCTCCTAAGAGTCCTGCAAGGCTGAGTCTTTACTTGCTGCCCGCATGAGCGCATGCCCCTGGACAGGATGGCAGACATTCACCTTAAAATGGGGTTTTAGGACTATCAGTCCTTTTGCTGCAACCCTATGGTGACTTTTTACTGCACGAACCCCACTCTCCAGACAGGGACTCGTGTCTTCTGGAATCCTCCAGTTTTGGACGACTCCCCGGAGAACGCCTTTCATTGGGCCTAAGAGCTCCTGAAAACCCCATGCAATGATTTTCATTTCACGAGAGCAGGAGGGATTCAAAGTCTGCAACTCTTGTCTATTATTCTTCAACGAGGACCAACAACTGCGTATCCTGCCGCCCTCCACCCCCAAATAGCTTAAGTATTTTCAGCAGGGTAAGGGTACACGCAGTGTTTGCAAATCTCTTAAAGTCTCTGTAGTTCAGAAATGGTACTTCCTTGTTCTTGATTAATTTAAAAACACGCACATCCTGATTTCTTAGGGAAAGCTTACCCAACGTCCCAGGCAGAGTTGAGAGGACACCCATCGCATGAGAACCCACAAAAGAAAAGTCAAAGTTGTCAGCGGAGGCTTTGCTTCAAGTTGAGGGTGAAACCCTGTGTTTTCCAGAGGAGACCATCTTGGGGAGAGGAAGCACCACTGGATGAGCTAGAAGCACTACTGCTAAGACCGGAAATCCCTTGGTCAGTTTCTATCTCTTGATGTCCTGGGATTTCTTTCACCAGAAATGAAGAATCAAAGTGGGAGAAAGCCCCAAGTTCAAAGGCCCTGGGAACACCGCTGTCCCACCCTCGCCACTCCCAGTTTCCCTAGAGGACAATTATCTTGGAAAGGATCTGGCTCCTTTCTCACCCTTCTCCATGCTGCCCCACCTAAAATGGTCTCCTTTCCTTCCTGCCAATGAGGGCTTCGACTTCCATCAAAGTTCAGTTCCACACCGAGTCCTGCAAGAAGCCCTTCCCTGATGAGCCCCACCCGTGAGCAGCCCTCCCTGTCTCTGCCCCCCCCCCATGCACACTGCATGGCCACCAGGCCTGACGGACTGCTCTGCCTCCTGCCCCTGGCAACCAGGGGTTGATGACGTGTTCAGACATCAAACAGATGTTCACTTTGTTTCTGTTTCTTCCTACCTTGGTGATATAAAGCAGACAATGGGTGAGGAAACAGCTTCATATAGAAAGAAGTAGCTATCATCCTAACTTAATTTGTTGCTGTAAACTTATTCTACTGGATGCAGGCAGGATTTACAATGCCAAACTTCAAAAAAGAGCAGATCTGATTCAAGATAGGTAAGACTATGTCAAAAGCTATAGCATTCGCTGTGATAATGACTGGAATGCTGAAAATACAGAACAGATAAATCTCTTGTTCTCTCCCTGAAGTCACTCTGTAGTGTACATTATTCTTAGACACCCCCATCAAGTGATTTCATACCAAATCAAAATAGCAAAAAGCTTTAACACTGAGATAACTGACCAAAGAATAAAATCCCAATGCTTTAGTATTTTTAATTCAAGTTCTTATATTCTAACACACAATTGTATCATTAATAAAAGAATCAAGCAACGGTGTATCTTGCTTTTTTCGGAGTTCAGCTTAACTGGGTCGAGGAAAGACGCTGGCACCTGTGGGTCAGCATGCAATGGGGGTAAGTGGACAACACTGAGCAAAACACATCACCTACTTGACCCTGTTTATCTCTGAAATGGGGATGTAACTCATGTGGTGTCCCCACTTCCTGCCGTACAGAAAGGATTTCGTGATTTTAATCACTGACAATGAATTATGTACAAGGATAAGAGAAATACTCTGCGTTTACCACTTTTAAACTACTATCATTGCCAAGTAGGGCTTGATTTAAGCATAGAAAATACAGGAGAAGACACAGTGGCATCAGCTAAACTTGAGAATCTCTCCACCATAAGAAAGCACAGTGAAGAATCTGGGGAGTATTTATTCGAGAAAAATCACTGAACCTCAGTAAAAACAATGGGCTTTGTGGTGCTTT